TTCACATCTTACCATCATCACACTGAGCAAAGCCTGCGGTATAGAGATTTGGCTCTCCCTTCAGCTCATTCTCTTTGCAAAGCATAGCCGATAGCCGAGTTTACATTTGATATTTGATCTAAATAAATTTGTCTCTTTAGAACAAGTAACGCTGTATCATTTTAACATTAAATTTGTGTAACAAAATTTTTGTCTATTAACTAGCAGTACCTTAATGTCCAAAATCGTTTTACAAACTAAAATTTCTCGGATCGCTGTATCCGAGTACAACTTTCTAAGTTTATTATTTTTGAGGTCCACGCATTTGCCCGTCGGAAGAGAGTGGGCGTGGTCTGAAAATGTCAATCTTTGAAGGACTTCGCCAACAACCTATTAACCATATTTGCAGACCGTAGCCTTAAAATTGTTGGAGATATGTGGCCTTATCGATTTTATCGATTTCTTAGCCCCCTAGTGAACTTATCACTCCAATTTATGCACTTTGTCTGACGCGGGTTTTGAAAAAAAACAATATATGATATGATACCTTCGGTTTCAAAGTATATAAAGAAGATCTTAATGAATAAATCCTTTTAAAATGACTAGAAAAGCTTTGAGCTTAGTAAATGAGTGATTTCAATTTATATAAGTACCTCTTTGTGTTGAAAGTCAACGCGAAACTGAACCAAGGTGCACATTGTCATGTGGAGAGTGATAACTAATCCATAAATTGTGTTCACCTGTATTTAAGAACTCTGAGCTATCGTGTTAGAGATAGCCGGTTGGCAATTATGCACTGAACGCAATAAAATTATTATAAGAAGATATGGATATGCATGTAAGAATGTCCCTCTGTTATCTGTCTTTATGTTCATCTGGTTGCACACGCCGATCTCAAAAACTGTTAAAGCACTACACTTCAAATTTGGATTATTATTTTTCGTAAGCCGTACTCTGATTACATTTTGTTTAACCCTTAGATAGTTCCTCATATTTGTTTCTCATGAGTAAACAAATCTATCTCTAAAATTAGTTTAATTTATTTAATTAACTGCAAGCAGCTCACCGACCACAGTCAAATAGAATTTCAGAAGTGTAATAAATATATATGATACAAATATATGTATCTTAAATTTCCACATAGTGTGTCGATGCAACTCCGCTTGAAATGCTTTCCGTAATTTCCGTTTCACATACCTAAGAATGGTGAACTAAACTAAATAGCAACACAAGAACAGCAGCAGCAACAAGACGACGGGTAAACAATGAAATAAATGAACGAAATATATACTCGACAAGAGTGTTACTCGTACAAATAAAAATAAGTATTAAGTCCTGTCGAAGTACATTTTACTTTATCAGTAGTTGTTGTTTTCTCATCTTTCTACACTTTCTGTACCTTTCATATTTGGTTGTATATAACCACTTTCAAGATATTATTTAGTTTAAAAAAATTACATAAGTTGTCAATTTAAAGCTATTCCTACAACTTTAAATTTTTACTAGTGACTGACAATTTGTTGATTTAAACCGTAGATTTATAATAATTGTATGGGTATCAAAGAATTTACCAATTAATTTTCAAAATGAACGAAATATTATTTTGAGAAAAACAGCTCAGGTGGATTCCATTTTCAGTATATAAGTTAAGAAATTTTCCTTTTGTCTTTTTAATAAAAGTATGTAATACAATAAGTGTTTGTGTTTGTAAGTGTATAACAATTGAGTTTATTGTGTGTCCCGAGTTGGTCAAGTTTAGATGTACCTCATGGACTACTTTAGATGTTATCTTCGATAGGATGGATATATCCGTATTCCGTTATATATGTACGTTTCAGGTTGAACTCCGCACATCTCCCTATCGCACACACCTCAGCGTGAAATATGCTGGTGTGCGTCCCCAGGCATTCATGGTACGATATCCGAGGGCCCACCACTTCAAGGCCTGTGGCTTGATTGGTGAGTGATTCATCGGTGTACCATATTATGGTGTGGGGCTTCATAGGGAGGACTAGAGTCGTCAATTTCCTTTTTCTACTCATATGAATTGTGAAATTTTGTTGGAATACGTATTCAGCTAACATTTCATCCGTAGGTTGCATCAGTAGGGGAAGTTCATCTGAAAAAAATTGGCCATCTCTCTGGCTTAGAATGTGATTGCTACCAACTCCTTCTGTCGACATCCTCAAAAGTGTGGCTTTGTGTTGGAGCCTTATAGTATGGTGGAGTGGCATGAGCTCCATTAAGGCTTCCAAGGCTATTGTTGGCCAAGTGAGCATGGTTCCTGTCATAAATAGGTAGGTTATTCTCTGTAACTTTTCCAGTTGTCTTTTCACGGTGATCAGCCGCACCCTATCACCCCATGCTATTGCTCCATAGGTCAGCATGGGTCTTGCTACCATTAGGTATAGTCAGCCCATTATTTGCGATGTTCACCATGACTTCCCATCTATGCTACGACATGTATAAAGCGATCGATTTTGTACATAGGTGCCAAAGTTTAACTTACTGTCAAATGTGACTCTGAGGTATTTTAGCTCTCTGCTTGTTTCAAATAGGCTTCCTGAAAGCCATATTTGCCGCATTGTCTGTAACTTGTATCGTCTGGTGAAGGGGCAATGAGAATTTTTGTTGGTCTTAGGCTGAGTCCAACCTCCGTAAATCAGTCACTCGTTATTTTCAACCCTAACTGAACAATGTCTCAGAGCGATTCTTCAAATTTGCCTCGTGCTATGATAACAATGCCATTGGCATATCGCTGACATTGAACACTCCTTTTGGCACGTCGGTAAAACAGTTCATCTACTAACTGGCTCCAGAGTAGCGGAGGCAATACACCCCGTTGGGGACAGCCTTTAGTGCTGTTATGAGTTGTTGTCATGGCTTGTCTGGACCGCAGCAGTGTAAGTATCCACATGCTGGTAGTTGGGTCCAGTCCCCTTGATGTGTTGTCAAAGGCGCCTTGAAGAACACCGCAACTCGTAAAGGGCTGTGTTCGTGGACCTGCCTACTCTGTATGCATGCTGGATGCAGCAAAGTCTTTTAATTTTTTAGTCCACCAGTTTTTCCAACGTTTTCAGTAAAAACGATGTTAAGTTGAAGTGTCTGAAGGACTTTGGGTTGGTGATGTCTCCCTAGCTCTACTCCATGCTCTCGGTATATGTCCAAGAGCTAGGCTGCTTAGTAGAGTTTCTTAATATGGAAGCGGAGTATGTCCTGACCCATTTGATGGAAAACTGTCGATATTCCGTCAAGTCCGGGAGATTTATAGGGCTGGAATGTACCCATTGCACATTTTAGCCTCTCCGTTATGACTGCTGACTTGGTGGACGCCCTGGAAAGTGCGTTTCAAAAAGGAGTTTTAGTTTCTCTATATTATTGCTCGTAAAGGAGTTATCCCTATGTTTCAGAGCTAAGTTTCATCCGGGTCTCGCTTTACCAGTGCTCTATGAAGCCTGGCGCCTTCGCTTGTGCTTACTATGCGTTCGCAGAAGTTTCTGTAATTCTTACAAATATAGATTCTTCTGGAGAAAAGTGCCAGTCCCTAAAGTGAAGTTTTAGGGACCGACTGATCAGGGTGATGTGTAACACCTCCTCTCTGATTCTAGCGACAAATGTCGCTTATTATATATTTACATGAAAATCTGTGAGGCACTCACTCCTCATGTTGATGTCGCTGCTGTCCCATATTGTGTGGTGCGCATTGGCATCGCATCCGATGATCAGCGGCATCTTCTTTCTTGTCTGTTTCGTCTCCCACTTTGCACACCTTTCCACAATTGTAGCCGCGGCACTACGGTGCTCAGCCTATCAACTGAGTACTCATCGGCCTTTTTCGCCATATCTGTATATGACGGTCAAGGATTTGTGGTTGTTGACGAGCTGGAATTCATGACGCTGCACATTATGTACTCGGACATAGGTCCAGGTCTTCGGCCACCGTAAATACCACTTGCCCTTCGAACCGCAGAGGTTCCACTAATTCGGGTCGTCCACCCCACCGGTTGACCCATCGGTGGCAGGAACTCCTCCCCTTTTTTAGGTGTTGTCCGCTTTGCTTCGGAGTCAGGCGTGATGGTCAAAATAGTCTAACCACCACATTCCTACGCCTAGAAGGTGGGGCTTGCGGCACTCTCCTATTTAGTGCTAGAGTAGCTCGGTGTGGAGGCTGGTCTACCACACTGGAGGACCGTCTCCATCTAGGGTTCGGTATTCTAAATGTCTAGCAACATGTTGCGGAGAAATATATGTCCACCCGGGAAGAGATCCGCATAAGCCGGGTAAGGTTAATTAGAACAGGCGGCCGCCATTTGGCTGACCTCATCGTCAGAGACTGGTCTAGTCAAGCAGCCTTTCGGCACGGTTCGAGTGCCACCTTAGTCCAGCCCGGAGTGAGATGTAGAGAAAGGATGGAGGTAGGTAAGTGGTGCAGGAAAGTTGGGCTTGTGTGAGGCTATGCTTTTAAAAGGCAGAAACACAGGCGCCTTGTTAGTATGATTAACGATTAGCGCATCTGCAGTCTGTCCGCAGCGAGGAATCTCGTATTATTCGCAGCTAACCTCCACGAGAGAAGACCGTTCGCTATTCGCAACTGCGACCGGCCTAGTGGCCTCAGTTCAGCCCCACCCGATCCATCCCACAAGTTCTTTAGACTTAAGTTTTTTGGCTTTTCCAACAAAATATTTTTAGCCTCATTTTTGCAATTGCTTTATCAGGTGTTCAAACATAGTAATACCTATGTATTTATGTGTGTTGCTGTGTGTGTATGCCTTGCATAAGTTCACAAAACCAACTGTGCATCTTCCATATCACCTTCCGCCTTTCCCTTTTGTTATTCAACAATATCTATTTTTGCATGCACAATGTTAAACGAATGGAGGAACCAACTATTGTTGGTCTAACTCCCTCTTTTAATGCGATGCATTGGTTAAGCATCAGTTGTGTCTCATTGTTGTGTGTATTGTCGGATCTGTGTGTTAGATATTCATTGTTCTAGTTGCTCCTGTTGTTTCCCATCGCAGGTGGTAAAAATGTCGCCTGTTGACCATAATGTGGGCACTCCCAGTACGGCTGGCGATGAGGAATTCCAGATGGCGGCCAGCACAAGTGGGGAGAAATGGAAGGATGTGCCTGACAAGTATTTACTGGTAATTGCACACTTTCTGGCCGGCCAATCTAACGATACGGAGGACATGGAGCGCTTCAATGGACCGATACTAAAGGCCAGCATCAAGTCGGTCTATTGGCTATTTCTTATACAGTATGCGGCACTGGCGCTGCTGGGCGTACTGCTCAACATTGCCATCATTGTGTACATCATGTATCATCGACTCTACAAGGACATCACGCATGCTTTCATCATTAATCTGGCCCTATGCCATTTTGTGCAGTGCGCTTTGGTGCTACCCATTTCGCTGATGGTGATGCTACTCCAGAACTGGATATTTGGACAGTTCCTGTGCTTCTTTCTACCCATGCTTCAGGTGAGTGCCAACTTTACTGTTACCGTACGCCTTTTACTTATTGCCATTGCACCATTGGTCCAGGACATATTAATTAAGATTACTCATGTGCATTGCTATCTATTTTGGTCCCCTTTCTTTTTCTCTTGCTCTTTCTCTCTCTCTCTCTCTCTCCCTCTCTCTTTTGGCTTGGCAAGCTGCTAAGTTGGAAGCGGTGGGGCATATGAGACGATAATCCTTATGGCACTATGACAAGTTCATAAACTTAACGCATTCTGGCTTATCGGTTCTTTATTGCTTCACCACAATGGCAATTGCAACTTCCAGGCCAGCACGGTTAGTTGATTAGAACCAAGAAGCGGTCACTAAACTATGGCCAAAAACAATCAATGAACTCTAATGGTTATGGGGATCATCGGCTTGGCAGTTAAACTTTTTAAATTCGCCAATTCAATCTGGTTGCTAGTTAGTTCAGTTGTAAATTAGTTCTGATTCAAATATTTGTACACATAAATACTCTTAATTTTGGCTTAATAGTTCTTGCGCAACAAGAAATGAAAACAGTTCCAAGTATAGCTCTGCATACATTAAAAGTGTAAATAAATAAATAAATGTATATTGAAATTCTTTAATATATTAAAGCAAAATCAGCGCCTGACAATAAGTAGAATTTGTAACCAACGTTATATGGCATTTTTTTAAATTTATCTGCAACATCAGAAATAATTAAGCAAAGGATTCATTCCTTAATAAAACACACGCATTTTGCTTTATTGATTTATCGTAAGATGATATGTTGAACACAATTGTTGATGTGTGCAACATCAATCTACGCGATAAAATGAAATCTAACAATTTTAAGTACAATTGTTTCATGAAGGCATTCTCGAATTAAGCACGAAATACTTCGCATCTTAATTAATGATGAATGACTCTCAGATTTTTTCAACAAAACAAATATCAAATAATATTTTTAAACAGCGTCTTATATTTATCTCTTGCAAATATATTATATACCTACATACATATGTATATATGCTATAAACAGTTAATACTGTGCTTTGTGGTGTGCCTTCAAAGTTAACACGCGATGCGGCCAAGTCCAATGTTTTTCTACTCCCTTATTCGGCAGCTAAGGGGCAGGCAACTGAACCTAATTGCCATTTCAAGAGCGGAGTGCCTTCTGAAGTTTGTAACAAAGCCCATCAAAAGCGAATTGACAATCCAAAATGAATTTAACACCTTGTCTCATTGGCCACCTGTGACATTCGACGCATTCGAAGCATGTCTTATTGTCAAAGCCACAATGATTGACATGCTTTACGGCAGGTAGTAAACACATTCATACATTTATATATATATATATATAAATATATATACATTCATAGGCATACAACCATACGAACAACATACATTGGGATAAAATATAATTTACTCTTATTCGATTTTTTGTATTGTTACTCTCATTTAACTTCTTCAGTTCACATTTGTCTCCCCATCTCTGCGTTTGTGATGAAAATAAATGTTTCGCAATGATAAGGCAGCCACAGGAAATCGAATAATCAAATGCACGAGTCAAGTCGCATAGCTACTTAAGCCGGTAAAGATACGATTCTAGGAAGTAAGTTGTCCTTTATTTTATTTTTTATTTCCTTTCTTATTTCTTATTTCTATGCTCTGTCTTTTTCTCTACTTAGTTAGTAAGAATATTGATTGATGATTGATGTTGTTATTAGGTACAACTACATACTACATGCATACATACATATGAACGCGTGTATGTACGTTTATTATACACTCAGCAAAATATGTGCTCCATATCATTCAGAATTTCAAGATGCGTTGGTTAAAAATAAGAAATTACAGGTATGAGGTCCAATATATTTAAATTTATAAATAAAATTCTATTTGGAGAGAAATTTGTTTAAATTGACAATATTTTGGAACAAATTTATTTCGTGAATTTCGATATTATTTCTGAAGTCTACAAATATTTTGCAGGCATGTTTGAACTGAGTTTATGGATTGCACACTGCCCAACAATATCATTGTCTTTTTATTCTACTTAAAGATACAACATTTAGATGCCAGACGCTGCGTATGATTGTATTAGCTACTCATTGACACGGAAGAGAGGTGAAACAAAATGCCAGGCAACGGATATGATTCGATTTGATTGCTATCACAATGCGCGACAAATATCACACACACATGCAAACGGATTTTTGTCGCATTTACACACACATTGGTCATGGGTGCTCACTTTTCTGTGTGAGTGTGTGTGTGTGTGTGTGTGTGTGTTTGTGTTTGTGTGTGTGTGAATCTCGCATGCCTAACACCCCATTAAAATTGATTGATGCCACTGGCGACGTAGGCATTCAACAAAAATTACAATTTACTTGGGACACCTTAAATTTCATCACTTCAAGAAATAGCACTAGAATGCGAACTGTAATTACGACTGTCAGCCGTACAATAAATTTGTATTTATTTCTTTCTTCAACCTCTTGATTAATACTTGACCAATTTCTCACATCGCAGGTGAATTGAATGTGCTTACACACTCAGAAAATAAATCGTTCTGAAATGCAAATACTTTTATCACTGAAGGTTGTGTCTTCAGTATTATTATTATTATTGTTGGGGAAGTTGCACCGCGACCTGTTGGATCTATTGTGTCCCTTTCTGAGCCTATAGCTCTTCCATCAGTCCCAGATCCCGTGCGAATGCTGGGATCGTTGTTGGGTTGAGGTCTTCTATGTCTCTAGAATTCAAGACATGCAACCCTAGGATGCTACATCTTCTTCTAGCTAGTGCGGCACATTCTGCTAGGATGTGTATCGAGGATTCCTCCTCTCTTTTCATAAAATTCAGTGTTTTTATTTCTTTGTTCCAAATTTGATTTTCTTATCATTTATCTTGTGTGCGCATAGAATTCAAAACTGTAATCAATAAAGCCACATATGTCACACAATTTTAAGGCTACAGTCCTTCAAAGATCGGGATATGCCACGCCCCCATCCACTGCCCCCCGGCTCTCCGCTCCTGAAAATAAATAATAATAAATGACCATAATCGCAAAAGCCGATATTTCTGAAAGTGTAGGTCAATAAAACAGGGTATTTCCCAACATTTTAGAGATAGAGTCACCAAGCGTGGAAGGTAACTCCTTGGTAACCTCCTTCAAGGATCGGCAAATATATTTTCAGACCATGCCCACACCCACCCCACCATTTTGAAAGTATGTTACTGATAACTACCATAAGCGATCGATAAGAAATTGGATGGCCACGCCTACCCCCTCCTCCCCAAATTTGCTAGCGTAAATCGTTAAGACCATGTATCTATACAATCTGAAAGGTAGAAAGCTATATTGCTGGTAACACCCTCAAAAAATCCAGAAAATTTGGGATCACGCCCAGTCACGCCCCCAGTTACCAAATGTGGAAGGAATATTACTAGGAACCTTCTCTATTATTTCTTACAAAACGCATATACCCGCCCCCCAAAATTCTCAGATGCCCATATCTCCCATAATTTAAGAGACAGTTACCAAACTAGGAAGGATGGTTACTAGGAAATTCTTACAAGATTTTTTCCGACCACGCCTACACCAGGCCCCAAAATTCACAAAAGCCTATATCCACCGCAATTTTAAAGGCAAAACTTGAACGGTACTTTACTAAAACTCTCCTTTCTTGGCTACAGCCACCCTATTTTTTACTACCTGTTGTCAACTGGTATTACTCTATAGACTTCGGACGCTGGAAGTAGGGTCGGGCTGTCGGAGGCATTGCTGCGATTAAAACCTTTTTCCGGACATGTTTACATTTTTAATGTCGGTTCCACATTACGGTTGTGTTATCGCCATTTAATGACTGTCGAAACCAATTAGATTGTCGAATTGATAAATATAAATTAACTGAAGCGAACATACTGTATAGATTGCGGTAATTAAATTATTAAATATTAAAATTTAATTCGTATTTTATCAGGAATGAATTAGGATTTATAAGTCTTGCAGCATATCTGATTTCAGTTGAAAACAGCTGACGATAAAACTAATATAATTGTTCAACAAAATAGACCGATTAACATTTACTACCAATTTCTTTATACATTTTAGAAAGTCCTATTATGAATACATATTCTTGATTAGCATCAAAGTCGAGTCGATCTAGCCATGTCGGAACTAATGTTTGTATTTGAAATGAATACTACGAGCATATCAAGTTTATTCTATTTTCGATAAATCGATAACTCGCATGTTTCGCAAGCCGGTGACTTCGGTTCGAGATAAAAACATGAGATTATTTTGCGCTTAACACAGTTCGCAACTATTTAACAAGATTTAATGTGTGATTAGATTACTCGCATAGATAGCAAATCTTCGACACCCCCAAGATTTGAGCTGTTTTCATGCTGTTTTGTATTATCTAGGCTTAAGTAGGTGGTTATACTGAGAAAAATAGATTGACCATTGCTGAATGCCAGACACTATGCTCGAGATGGTTGACTGACATACAAACACTCACATGTCCATGTGAGGTGTTGTCACAATATCCAATCTGAACCCAACCAAACAAATAAACAGAGCAAAAGCCCAGCCAAAAAGGATAACCGTGGCAAATCTTTGGGATTTCGCATTCAAGCATAACAAGAAGGGCAAATGTCTGCATGCTTTCCGAATTTCTATACATATGTGCATAAAAATATATTTAGGTGTACATATACATGTATATATGCATGTATGTACATACATATGTACATACATATGCGAATGCTCAGCCAGCCGAGCCAAACCAGCTCCGATACCCCAACAACAACAATCAGAGGAAAACAAATTTGTTTCAATCACCGCACACGGCCGAAAAATGGTTGCCTAAGCCATTGGACTAAGTAAACAAAGCTGAGGAATCACTCTCATACCCTACTTCACTACCCAGTCCCTGCCCCTTACACTCAGAAAAACATATATGCCCTCGAGCTTAGAAAATCGACGTGAAACTCTTCGCAAATTTATGAGAAACAATTTCCAACTTCTTAAAACAAATTTCTTAAAAGAAGACGAAGAATAACAATATCAGAATAGCAATTAATGTTTACTTCACAAAATACCGGGGAATATAACGGTATTTGAAATTTAAGATAAATATAATTTTAATACACTTAAGGGAGAACCTACATGTTTTGACGATTAATTTAAATCGAATGAAAATACTTTCATGCTTTTTGTTTCAGTGTACTCAGTATATGTAATGTTTGTGTATCTCTGTATTTCTTCATTTTGTGCTTGCAGGACATACCGTTACATGTTGCCATGATATCGCACATTCTGATTGCCTGGGATCGCATGCGCTGGCTAAACGATCCGCTCAAGGGCCGCATACCCGGCTTCGTCTGCTGCTGTGCCACCTGGCTAACTGGCATGGTGATTGCGCTCCCCTATCCCATATATACGATTTACGTGGAGCTCGGGGTGAGTCATTAACGAGAGCGGGTGGAGGCTCAATGGGTTTTTGCTTTATTAAAAATTACGCGATACAAAGTGTTCGTATCTCTGTGTGTGTGAGGATATTTGAATGTGTGTGCTTTGTACCTGCCTAGATCAAAGTGAATTCAGCAGACCGTTAAAGCATTGAGCTGTGCTATTTGACGGTCGACAGTCATAGAGGGCGACAAACTCTTTATGCTTCTAATACACTTCATGAAATTTATCAACATATTGAAAGTACTAGAAACAAATTCGCCTCAAAATGTGCTGTTAACTTAAAGACAAAGAAATATAGTATTTATTAGCTTTTATTTTTATTATAATATTCAAATTTATATATTTTTAGTTAGCTATTCTATTTAATTTTTTTTTTTTGCTTACAGCTTTTGGTTACAAATATATTACCCTTTCTGATGCGATATATTCGATAATTCAAACTGCCAACTAAAATTTAAATGTCAGCAGAATAATTACAATAGTATATTATCTTCGGTGTACCCAAGACAGACGATATTCTTGTTCATTTTGGATGTTAGCTGAAATAAGCTTAACAAATGACGATTGGATCTTGTAATATGTGGAAAGCTTAAAATGTGTTTAAAATGTATACATCTACTAGAAGATATTTCCCGGCTTCTCGGGTGAAGTTTCTGAAGTCAGGGAAACTTGTTGCGTATTGAAAATGATTTTCAAGCTGATCGGATGTTAAACAAAAACATTGACTTAACGTCTTTGCCTCACTTTTCAAGCTTGGGAACGAATTTGCTGGGTTAGTGCAAGAGTTTTCGATATGTGTACTGAAACCAAGCTAGACGCATTAAATTTCGGTTCGCGGAATAGTTCTGTGGTTCAGTGTGTCTCATGTGGTTAGGTAATTCGTAAACCAACGCATTTTCGTTTCGTTAGCGTTCATGGAAAAACTTGGCAAATTTACAGCATTGTGTGAAAAAATCCCAACGGCCTGATTAGCGACTGAAAACTGGCAAATTGGCAAGCTGCTGCTTCTCATTGCGAAGCGTCTGACAATGTTCAGCTGACTCATAAAGGGTGAAGGGTTGTCAGGCTGAGGGGGTCGGGGGTTGGGTTTTTGATCTGCTGGTGTGTGTGGGCCAATTTGAAACTCGTTAACATTGTCAAATATCAACTGTGCTTGCATCTTGCTGCCAAAATATTTGCAACATGGGCTCTTAAAGTGAGCCCACGGCAACGACAACACACATAGTACTTGTACATATATATTTATGGGCCATAAAGTGTAACAACTTTTTGATACACTCAACGTGTTCTTGCTCTCTTGCTGTCCCAGATTCCCTTCTCGCTTTCGTGATGGTTGTTGTTGTGTGTCTGCTGGCTTGCTATCGAAAATAGTCAAAAGCAACTGCACCACTGCATTTTAAATACCCTGCAATTGTAAAACGTATGTTGAAATACGATACACTGTGACAAAACCAATATGCTACTCCCTGATCAGTAAACACACAGTCATATCGCACTTTAAATTGCATACGATCTGAGACTGGTGACTGAGCCAGCACTTAATTTGTATAATGCACAGTATTACGAGTGGGAACCTGTTTTGGAATACTTAGGAGCTGGAGACTTTAAGTTATATTATTGAACGAAAAATAAATATCACCATTATTTCTTAAATATCCATAATGGCCTTAATTATTTAGTAAATCTGACAGAAAGTCATTATTATATGAGCTTTTGGAAAAAATTTAATAAACAGTCAATAAAGTTTAATTATAGTTTGATAATAAAGCTTATAAATTTGATATTACCTGAATTGGGTTACTTGCGACCTGAGTACCAGTTTTTGAATCAAGAGAATTATTTGCCGTTGTTATTTCACTCTGATGTTAGTTTAGCAAATTAACGGTTCTTATAACGTTTGAACTGCTAAAAGATTCCATAACAACTGACTTGAAAATTGTACAATTAAGGGCATTTTTTTAAGTTTCATTCGGTCGTCATAACATTTTTTTTATAATAAAATTGGCTTTTTACGCTCTTTAATAAAAATTGACAATTTTGATTTTCATGTATAGTCGTAGCCGACTTTAAATATATTTAGGGCTGCCCGCCAATATTACTAATCTTCTTATTGTCATTAAGCAAATTTTATAATATGTTGTTAAATTAATTATTTAGCACGAATAAAAGTGCCAAGCAAAGGGTATATCATTTATCATTTCATGTCAGCTAATAATGCGATGCGAATGAGAGAATTAGGACTTGATTTTGCTGGTCTAAATTTGCCAGCTATTTGAGCTGTAGAGCTAGCATTAGGAGCATAGAATGCCAAGCCCTTAAGTACTACTAATTATCTACGGGTGCGTTGTTTGTTGTTGCCAAACGCTTCCGACAGCCAATACATCATTTTTTATTGGGTTAGTTGCTACGAGCATTTATATGCGATATTTATGAAGCATGGGCTGTATGATTATAAGTTTCAGGCGACGCCAAACGTTAATTTGAATAATTTATATGGCAATTCAGTGAATTTTTAGGACTCGTAAAACTGACAAGATGATAGCAACAAGTGACACACACAGAGATGATTATCAATATGATGATGATACTGCTACTTGTAATAATAATAAAAATGATAATTGCGATGATTTATAATATTTATGCCTAAAAGTCGATTATCATCAAGCGCTTATGCGTGTGTGTGTCTGAGTCTGAGTCTGAGTCTGAGTCTCTGTGTGTATGTGTGTGTATGTGTGTGTATGTGCGTACTTATAAGCCAGTCAAACTCAATCAGTCGTCAATAATTTCATTATTTTAATATATGTATATATAAGCTCAATGCGAAGGCACTACTAGGAGTCCAAACAGAAATATACACAGACAGAAACCATTCACCTAGTTCCCCCATTGTCACCCTCCCACGGGCCCTGGTAAAGGGCTTATTATCTTGTTTGGGTTCGCCTTTTGTGCAATTTATGAATATTTTACTTATACGTTATGGCCAAATTGCCGCTGAAGAGGGTAGAAGTGCTGTGCTATTTGGCTTGATATTTTGCTATTTGGGTTCAACAAATTGCTTTGACATACGCACCCAGGCACAAGCCCACACACACACACATACACACACACACACACACACACACACACACACACACATGTACGTGTGTGTGAGCTTTGATTCGTCATGTGTCAATGAAGTTCCTGAAATCTCTAGCATTCCTTTGTGTGATTAACAATGGACGGTCGAAAATCACTTTGATATCCATTTTGATGTGTTTGATGTGAATGTGCGACAGCTAGTTGGTAAAAAATTAGCAACAAAATTAGCTATGTTTGAGAACTTGTTTGAAATAATTGAAAAGTTTCTGGAAAATAAGTGTTGTATTTCTATAAGCACGTTCTTAGTTGTTTCGATTTGCTTAAACGTTAAATTCATTTCTCTTGTATTAATGAATTCGTGACTTGCTTTCGAAAACGTTCTGTCGATTTGCCGGTAATTTTTGTTGGCCCAGATAACAGTTTTATGTGCTCTTGTTTATCGTGGCAAAATAGCATACAAGGACTGCGTAGTAAGCTGCAGATTTAGTTACGGGTTTGGGCATTGTGGCACGACGATTTTAGCGGATGAACAACTTTTGTTTATCGTTGTCAAAACGTGCCAAAAAGTATTTTTTTTGTGTCAAAAACAAAACAAAAAAAAATATATCTTAAATTGAAAATGTTGTATATTTTTATTGGAGTCGCATGTTGTGCAATGAAAATGTCAACGTTGATACAAATTACCTTGTAAGAGTGCTCCATCAGTCAGCTCGTGATACCCCGTACCCTGATATTCTGTACCCATCATAAATTATACGTCTTAGATATTCAAGTTTATAAAATGTGCGTAAAGCCATGTACAGCCATATGTGTATGTATACATTTTGTAAATGGATATGCTTTCTGCCTTTGTTATGCCCATTTTGATCAATTTTTAATGGATTCAGGGCATAAAAAATAAATCCTTTTTCCTACATCAAGTCCAATCTGTCATTCGCTTAAATGGCGTTTTCCCCCTTTTTTTCTTATTTGGTTTTTTCATTTGCATCTTGCCACTGAGCTGTCAGGGGGTGTCGACCGCAGTCAGTCAACTAACTCAGTTAACTAATTACAAGTTATATACAGATAAAAATGAGATTAAAGGATTTATAACTGGCTTAGCTAAAAGTTTCTGTATGCCCTGGATTCTAGTCTTCATTTTCGGCAAATGAAATTCAAAGGGCTCAAATATGCATGCTGTATGCAGAGTTGTGCCAATCCTGACAGTCCTGCCACTCCTGGCCACACCCATGACCAGCCAAGGCCCACAACAATGTTTCCACAGTTTATTTATGTTCACCACGTTGCTGCTGTTGTTGCCAGTGCCGTTGCCGTTGCTGTTGCTGTTGATGTTGATGTTATTTGTGGTTGTAGTAGAGCAACGTCTTGTTGCGAATATCCGCTTACTCGCGTTGACTTTGGCATGAAGCCCTTCCTAATCCTGGGGGCATCACCAACGCTGACTGCTTTGACTGGCCCAGCTCTGCACCCGCCCTCGTGATCAGCCACTGAGCTTTCCCGGATATACGCTTGGAAAACGAAATTATGCTACTGGCTACGACCTATGAAAATACAAGTGACTTCTCGCAAAAATTAAATGCCTAAAGTAATCGTAAACAGACTAGGGGTTTGGCATTAGCTATAGCGAGGCAGGGGATGGGGCGGTTACAATGGGTGCGAGTGCTATTCACAAATTCTTATACCCCTAAATGATTGTGCTAGGGTTCATCGGGCAACATTTAACAATGTGTAGTAAATTGTTAGGCGGATCAGAGGAATGCAAATGTATATATATATAAATATATATATATATTATACACATATGTTATATGTCTTAAGCTTAACTTAACTCCTATTCATCGTTCCGGAGAGAGACACATTTTAGAAGTTGTGTTAGACCCCATTATAATATATGTTGGAACATTTGTTTA